CGCAATTCAAATAGTTTTTCATACTTGTTTGATTTGTACTGTAAAAAAAAAGTGTTTTAGCGTTAGTATAAATATGCATTACTGCTCAGAATTCATCAAAAGATTCAGTGTTAAAATTTGGTAAGATTGATCTCACTTGGGTTTCCTAATAAGAAAGAATTTGACAAATCTTTTGCTGTGTTACTTGAAATAAGACGCGCTATTTGTTTTGGTCTGATCAATGAATTTTGCAAATTTTATAATATTACAAAATGCAGAAGATAACGCTTTCTTGAAAAAACATTGCACATCATGGGCAAGAAATGGCTAAAAAATATACAAAAACAATATCGCTTCTCTAGTTCAAAATACTTTTACTAGTGCAGATACCTAAACATACTAAAGTATTTTTACGCTTGCTATGCGTTTTGCTTACACAGAGTTTTGAAATTTATTCGCAGTACTTAGTGTTCCAAAATTAACCAAAGAACCAGATAAAGCAATGGATGTTGCCCCTTCAGAATTTGAATAATAATTGGATAAAACTCCAATGTATGTACTTAGACCGTTTTTCTGAACTCGCCATCAAGTAATTTTTGCTTTATGCTACGCTCCATTTGCAACACAAAAATATTCCCGATGAAAATGTGGATTGTGCAAGGGTATTTTTTAGAGACACCTTTTTTCGCTGGAGTATTTTTTGCATATCCAACAAAAGAAATAAGTAATTTTTTGAACAAATTATTATTAAATCTTGTGTATAACTTACTTGCAAATTTACTTGAAACGGTAGAAAAATGTAAATCGAATACACCTTAATATTCTCGATTCTAGGTATTATTTTCTTCAAGGTAAATTCTAGAGTAAATCCATCAAATATTTGATCGTTGTCAAAGTCAATTTTTTTTATCTGTTAGTTTTGTTAAGTGAAAAAAATAATCTTTGTGTAAAATTATATTTTTGTGCAATTTTAAGCTGACTCAATGAAAGATGCAGTATATTTCTAACTTTTTTTATGGGTTTCTTTTCCCAAAAATTACTATCTAATTTTTTATGCTTAGTTTGCCATAATTTTTGACATTGTTACTGATCTCTTTATCTAAAAATTGTTTCAATACATTATCACCTTGGATTCTACCATTTCAAGAATGCCTAAATTATGTTTTATTCAATTATTTTCAACCACCTGAATTGTTTCTTCAGAATCAAAAGCATTTAACTCACTACTAGAGAAAGATTTCGTACGAGTGACATTTTTCAAAATAACTTGCTGGTGCCTTTCTCCACTTTCTGCATTAGCATATTCTATACCGATAAGACATTGCCCTGTATCATTCAAAATAGGCTGACCAAAAATAACGTCACGAGTTAATGATCCCGAATAGCCTGCAAAACGTTCACAACAAGTGACTGACACGTAATTTTACTCAAAAATTCACTAGAAAAACAGTAAACATTTGAATGAAATGCTTTCATTTATGTTAAATAATATTAACTAAGCAAGGAAATCTCATTCCATGTATTCTTTAATTAAATATAGTGCATAACATTTTAACTTCGCATCGAAACTAAACTATGTGCAGTTTTGGCATTGCAATCTTCAAGAAGATGTAAATAGTACCATAGGATATCATTAGCACTGCTGGAGCCAAATACTTTATCAAACTCATAAAAGACAGTGTTATCCATGTGCGGCTGGCGACCCGAGCAACATAGAGTAAATTGTATGGCACGCGGCTAACAATGCAGGGAGCCATCACAATTCACATTCAAAAACAAAGTGAGATGAATAACATTATTTAGGATGCAAAATTATTCATTTCATATATGGGCAGTTGATTCGTTGCTAATCTTAATATACAATAAAATTGTGTCCAGGCAAAAATGAAGTTTTTGTTATTCCTGAGAAAGAAAGAAATTCCACCTGGACATCTTTTAATGTAACAGGAAAAGTATGTAACTGTTAGCAAGACCATGAATATGGTGAATGCAAATACTGAAATTACAAATTCGGCTGTAGATCTTTCAATGTATGAGTAAAAATTCAAAACCTACAGGAAAATGAAAGATAGAAATTGTGAGAAGTAGCAATACAGTACTGATACAATAAGCTATGTTGACTATCAATATACAAATACCATTATGTAAGATTTATTAAAATCAGTAGATAAAAATGCAAAAGCGAGAAATTTTGGCATGCCCCAAATGTGGAACTTTGCCTGAATAAAGATGATCCTGTGTATATTATTCGTTCCCTTTACAGATTAGTCCCTTACTGGTTCACTACTTTGCTATTTCAGCAAAGGCTCATATGAACCGGCTAAATAACCGGTTTCAGAAGGCATTTCGTCTCTTCTATAGCTTAGGTATATTGTGACTGAATAATTTCGTAGCAGGGTTAAGTGGAAATGTCATACAGTAACAGGTTGTTCCTACATTTCCGAACTTCTGGAAAACTGCGATGCTATAATGAGTTTGGGCCCGAGCGAAGGTAAATTAGCAGTTAAAAAAGCAATTTTTTGAGAGGCGGCCATGCAAGGTATATGCTGTGGATGCGTACTTACATTTAAGAACAAGCAGTGCTGCGAAAAATTGCAATTGCCCTCTACTCACATATATGTTCTACGGTGATGAAATCTACATCCATTTAAATGATACACTTTCCTTTTTTCATTCTAGCTTTTTAACAGGTGCGCGTACCAACTAAATAAATTAGAACACTTCTCAATTTTCAAAAAAATGTTGTACTTTGTTTGAAAATGCAAAAAATAGGCATTTATATATTTTTAAGATAATTTGCCACATTACTGGTAAAGAAATTAATACATACATTTTAACAACATCAAATTCGAGAAGTCATCTTCATCTCAAAATGCGTGTCTTATTAAAGTATAGATGAAAGTACTTATTTATGAATTTGATGTGTATACTCCCGTCAGTTCAGAATATATACGAAAATAGACTATGAAGGACATAACTTTATCTGAATTAACAAGCAAAAAATATTACATAAATTGGAAGGAGTTGGTTGCCATTTCAAGCAATTTTTGATTCTGGCGGGTTCCAAGTTTTGCTTTATTATGACGGATTCCAATTTTGCTTGATGCAATCACACGGAATTTTTTGCATGCATAAGACTAAAACATTCACAAGTGAGTATATACCAGCAAGAGCCAGTCGTTTACCAAAAATTGGAGCACCTGAAGATAAGAAATGTGATGATTCTTGCACAGTATATATGTTCAGAAACGGTACGACTTTCAACCTGCGACCGATTGTGAGGTAGCTATGTATACATATTCAATGTTTTATCGATAAATAGCCACTATCAAGATATGCGAATGGGAGTAAGACAAATGATTGAATTCGCCTGATCACATGTTAACGCGCCGGAAGTGGACTTTAAGAATATATTTTAAACGTGCTTCAATTAGTTCCTGTAAATGTGGTTCATCAACGGGATTCCATTTCAACATTAATATCCTCATTTTCTCCGCAGGTAGTAACCAAATTTAATTCGTAATATTACTTTTGTGTGTAATAAGTACAAATTCAGCAGCAAATCTAAAGTCTGCTTCAGGTCTTCTCTTCGACAATTTCTAATTGATATGCATAAGTAGACATTGATGCTTATACGTTTAAGCAAAGCTTTTTCAGCCACTTTGCGTAGGCTTGCCTGCTGTTTTTTTCCCTACAAAATGCAAAGCATTCAATTAGGAATCTAGTAAGCTCGTCTTCATATGATGCAGCTCATTGTTTTCTTTGTGCCATTCTTCACTTTTCAACTTAATTTGTTTGCTCAATTCTAGACATTTTTCCTCAACAATCCTTGCCTACGATGTATAACAAAATATTCTTGAAAAAGGTAGGAGAGGCAAGAATGCACAGTGCCTTCCGCCAAACTGATGAAATCAGAATTCCGTTAAGCGTAGAGCATTACCTTTCAATAATGCATTCTTTTACACTAGCAATATATATACTTTAGGTATGCAAGCGATTATTTTAACGTAATGTTGGCTAATGCTTAATGTACCCGTGCTGCTGCGGCTCTGCTCTCGGATACATGAATGTCTACTTGGTCAACGCAGCGTGAAACCCGATCCTGCGAAAGAAAATAGACGTAGCAGGAAAATACCACTTTCTTCTCCCTAAGGAGGCAAAACTATTAACTAATCTGCTCCTATAGAATAACAAGAAGTTATCAAATACTTAGCTCTAGTTATAACGGTCAAGGTAGGCTGAGAGTAATTATTTAATCATATGTGCAATAAAAAGAGATAGATCTACCCACAAGCAGCTTTTCCACTTCTTCATCAGTAATTTTTTCCATGCTGCAGCAATTGATTGGAGCTAAAAATGCTTCTCCTTTTACAAATGTAAAGATTTGTTGCACATTCAGGCGAATTTATTCAATAAATGGGGCAGACGTTTTTAAATTAGTTTAACATAAACAGAACAAGCAATAATTACTGTAAACGCCGATGTTGGGTACGAATAGCTCAACTCAAGTAAACAAAATTTATCACCAAAATTTTTTTCAGCCTTTCGCATGATAAGAAATCAAAATGCTTTCTAAACATATCGATCTCAAGGATTCCACTAAAGGCGTTCTCACATAACATTGCAAATGTTAATACTTCTCACATTTGTACATGAAACGACGCAGGTTACAATCATAGTCAGGTGGCGCGTCGCTGCAGCTATATTTGAATTGTGCATAGATCCATTACCTGTGGACTTTTTGTCTTTACTTATGTTTTCTTGCTGACTGGAAAGCTGCAATGCTGTAGACGATTAACTCTTTTCCTCACTACCTCAAAAAGAGAGTAATGGTTGAATTGTCATCCGGCTCCTTTCCAAAAGTTTTGGAGTCACCCTTTCTTTCTTCAGGTGGCTTCTAAACTTGATGTTCGTTCCATTTAGAAGTGATTGGTTAATATTCATTGCAAGAGTTGAAAAAGTTTACATATCTTAAAGAATGTTGCTCTCATGCAAAAAAGTCTCTCTCTTAAGTTATCGTCGGTTTCATGGTGTAGTGGTTAGCACTCTGGACTTTGAATCCAGCGACCCGGGTTCGAATCCCAGTGAGACCTTTTATAAACATCTACTGCGGCCGAATTTACCATACGATAGCCTTTTGTATTTGCTAAACACCGCCTCGCCTGCGCAGATACTCGCACGTTGAGGCATGCTTCAAAAGCTAGCTTTCCGGCACGTATTTCTTTGAAGTGGTTAGAAAGTACAATTTCATGGTCATCGTAATACAATTCTGTACCTAAATATATGTTGATTTCCCTCGCTTGATTACAGTAAGCAGCCGCTCTTCTTGCAATGAGCGTTGCATATGTACTTTTGGTTACCAAAGCAATCCGCTGTTACGCTGTAGCTTACTCTCCGATGATTTTCTCTTCGAACCCTCCGAGAAAAACTGGAAAGCTACGAAAATGACTAGAAGTCGCCTTATGCCTTGCAATGATTAAGTCATATTACTAGAAGCAAGATGGCTTTTACTTGCTTAGCAAGAATTCATTTTAAATTAGAAATATATTATTTCCAGAACGTTACGCTATTTTCAAACTTTTTGACAAGAATGCTTTTATTAAAGGAGTTGTAGCAAATTTGATTCTATCGAAACAAATCAATACAACCGCTTAGAACTTGAGAAATTGTCAAATCAGCATTCCCGACACTAAATGCTGCGATTGCTTCACTAGCTTCCTGCCAAAGATCTCAAGCACAGAAGAAACACAATTTAACATTTTCATGTTGCATAGGTGCGGATATGTTGTTATCTTATCGGTTTGAGAAAAGGCAGTATATATAGTTGGCGCTGCAATAAAATAAATATGCATTGAAACCGTTACTTTTCTTGATGGTGTTTTCTGGTGAATTATTCACTTTTTGCCAACTAAAATTTATTGACCCCAAACGGTTATATTCTTTAATTGCTTCATGCAATTGAACATATAAAAATTTAACTTCTAGTTGCTAAAAACGGGGCGTTTATTCTACAATCTATAAAATTTTATGCAAAAAAGTGATACTTATTATAGCGAAAAAATAAAACAATCATACACATTTTTATGCAACGGCGCTACGTCAAATGCACAAAAATTCGCGAAGTAAATTTTCTAAATCTTTAACAACTCTTCTCATCAAAAGCATAACTACGCGCATCTTATTTAAGGGGAGGGCGGTCGAGAGTAGTATTTTATTATTTTACGGCTAACGCGACTATAGACGGCTTACTCCTTTAACTTCGCACACACATTGAAAAATTCTTAAGGAGAACTCAATTTATGAGCCTCTCTTATTACGTAAAGTATCTGTTACAAAGGGTTAGAAGGGGAAGTATTGGAGTATTGCTAATCTCGCTAGATCCGAAAAATTTGTCCAATTATAAAAAGTACAGCTAATTAGCATTAAACGTTGGGTTAAAAAGTATTTCCTAGCCATTATATGTATTATGTACAAAGTGAAATGGATTTCGCTAAAACACCCAATGCTTGTGAAAGGAGGTTGATGTGAGGGCGCGAATAAGGTTTAGCGCCGAATTTAATGGAAAAGGGATACAAAAATAAGGACATGCTTTGACGCTGCAGAACAACTGGGCTTATTTTGTGTGTGTATGCACAATTGGAAACATGCAAGTCTGATTTGCAATTGCATTTTTGTATGCTACATTATTAAAACCATGTGGTATCACTACCGGCTTTCCTATACCTCCACTTGAGAGTCAGGGCATCTGTGAAGTTATCCTTGAAATATATAGTAGTGAAAACGTTGCCGGGGTTACTTCTTCACCGTGTGATAAGCAGCTTATTGCAACGAGGATTTAGCCCCTCAGTCATCGTCTTGACTTGTGTAGAAATTTTGCTACAAACTCTCGACTGCAGTGAGTGGGATTGACTTGTTTTCCGTTTCAACTGCGTACAAGATATGTTGTATCTGCACCCCATAGTTGACTGGATACTTCTGGCAATTTGCTTCACAAACACACCGTAATGCCTTCGCCTGCTGGTTTTGAAGAAACCCTGGAAGTTTTGACAGATTTGGATAGTCGTTCACATTCTCAAGGAGCTTTCTCCGGTGGAGATGATGATAAGCTGACATCCTCTGCCACATATCAAAACAGTGAATCTGAAGCTGAAGAAGAGGAAGATCCCGAAGATTATCTTTTTGGTATTTCCTCTCATGGGAAAACTGATCGTGCTGGCGGTGATCCACGGGCAGGTGGAAGACCGGGTGGTTTATTTGGTTCAGTTTATGCTGATGAGCGCCGCCAAGATGGGGTGTTACAACCTACTTTAAACGAAGATTTTGAAACTTCTTCGCAGGCTGCATATGAGTCTTCTGGTATTGAGGCTGGCCATCCTTCTGCAAAAGATATTCTTTCCCTTGATAAGGCTTATGCCAATCGTGTGGCTACTGAAGCCGAGCTTCTTTCACTCTTTGCGCAGCTTATACATTACGAAATATCGGCTACATTAGTAACTCCCACTACTCCAGTTTTTTCAGAAAATTATCCACGTCGTGTTTCTCAAAGTCACACATCCCATTCTTACGTAAGCTCTGAGACTCATGCAGTACCTTCCTCTACGAAGCCCTCGTCTACCAAAGAAGGGCATGGTGGAAGCAATAAAACAACCAATGCAGTACTAGCAAAACTCGTTCAAAAATGCTTTAAAAATACTTCACTTTCAATGACCGGGAAGGGTTTTACTTCCCGAGACAACAATGGATCTCATTTGCACACAAAATCTCAAACTAGAGCGAAAGAGGTTCCTCTTAACCCTCCTCTTTCTTCTCACAAACACACTAAGTTGGTCCATAGTTCGCTTTCTGCTGATATTAGCCAGCAATACACAAAAGGAGAAAGGCGGTGCTTTTTTGATGAACAAATTCTGTCAAGACTTTCCGATATCAATCTAATCCTACAGAGTGAACGCTTGCACATGCATGTCGAACGTGATGGAATTCCACTCTTTGCTCATCCAAGATTTGCAACTTTCTCTATTTTTGTAAGTTTTCAAATAACATTTATCTAAATTTTCTTTGAGTCGATTCCATACCTAGCTTAGGTTCCTGTGTATATTACCTATATGAAGAATATGTTTTCTTTGAGAGTCCCTTTAAGAAAAGAGTATACGATGCAAATTTCTGTGCTCTTTCTATCGTCAATTGGAGTTGTCACACTTTTATGCAAAACAGCTTTTGATTAAACCACTTCCTGTAACTAAAATTTCGAATAGGCAGCCCTATGAAGTTTGAAAAACGTAGCGGATGTACTCTATCCGTCTATGACGATACTTTGATTTTCACCAGAAACGTATGGAAATCCTTTTAATGCAGACAGTGTTGTAGTTTTTCTTTCTTTACACACTGTATGAGAGAAGTGGACTGTTTTTTTGTATTTCATCGATCCTTCTTTGCTTTTTCCCAGGCCAATGAATATTCACGGCTTCATTTGCTTCCAGTAATTCATATGCTGGCAGGGCATCGTCGCCATGATCTTCCAGTGGCACAACAGAGGCAGCTGATAGAACTTGTAGTGAAATATCTTAATTTAATTTGTGAAATTCCTCATAAAGAATGGATCGATTATTGGATGAAAGCCCAGCCCGATTTCAAACGGAATCGAAATATTCCTGATTTGTCTGCTTGTACTGAAAATGCACTGAAAGAGCTGAAACGGCGTTCTAGTATACTACAGAAGTATAGAAGTGGATTATGGGTACAAATATTTTTTCTATCTCTTTTACGACGTTTTAGAAGATTTTATACTATCGTTTCGATTCTATGGTACTGCGTATGGTTTTATTTTTTATTACTTTCTATTTTTCTGTAAGCAAATTTATAAGGAATTTCTTGCTTTTTATTAGCCTATTATGGAGAGCCGTCTATCCTTCTTCAAAATAAGCGTGAGAGTGTATTTTTAAAGTGCTTCTGCCACTTGGACCTCTTCTTAATTTCTTAAACAGATTTTTTTCAAAGTATATACTGCCTTTCTCAACAAAATAAATGTATTTTATGTAGAACTGAGTGAAGGGTTGTATTACCTAACCCTTGTATTTCTCTGTTTTTCAAAATGTATCCCATCTTCATTTTTCAGCATTTGAAGCAGATTTTGATCGATGAATGCATCTGGAAAGTTTTAGATCGCCAATATGTGGAAAGTCAGCATTATTTAGACAATAAATGCAGGTAATTTTGTTCACTTGTTATAAAGAATTTCCTTGTCTTTCCACTGCCTCTTCTTCTGTCAAGGTGGACATGTTTGTGGACAAGTTTCTCATCCTTTTTCATAGACTCTTGTTCCATTTTTATTGATACGAAGACTGCCTTCACTCGTTTCAAACTCTTCTGACCCCATTATTTGAAATTTATTTTTGAAAAGCAAGCTATTCCTGCTAATACAAACCTATAGAGGCCTCTACCTTTGAATAGAGCCATTTTACTTTGCAGTTTAATAATATTTTTTCCTGGAAACCAATTGGACTACCGCACTATGAAAAAAATCTTTGCTTTTGTTTTACAGAACAGAAGATGAAATGAAGGAATTGAATGAATTACTCCGCCAGAGAAATACTCTCTATGAACAAGAGAAAGAATTGAAAGCTTCACTGACAACCGAAGACGATGATGATGAAGCAGAGAGCCAATCCTTGCATCGTCTGGTGTGTTCATCCTTCATAAGAGTGTGTGGGAAGTACACCCTTGAAAACCCTCTTTTAAAATATCCATACTTTTTTAGAACACTCTTAGTTTCTAAAAAATGCATGGCCTCTTCTTCCTACCATTCCATCTCGTTTTAGTTGGAATTCGTTTTCTTTTTGTGCTCATTTTTCTTTCATTTTTGGGAGGATACACCGTGTTGTTGTATTTTTGACAAACTGTGAGAAAAAATTGGGTTTTCATGGCCCCTCTAAACTTTCTTAACAACAGACCGCCTCTCTTTTCATTTACTAGAAAGAATCGAGTAGATTACAATTCCCATTTGTGCATTTGAAAACATTTTACTACATTTTTATTGCTCCTCCTTTCCCATTTTTGTTTTTCGTGTGATTTGTTACTCTCTTGTATATCGCTTCTC